ACCCACTACGCACGCGCGCGCGGAGCCACAGGTCCGCTACGACACGCGTCCGCGGATAGAGAAAATCAGCGCCATGGTAAGGGATGGGTGGGAGGGGTAGGACGTCAGATATGACGCGAGCGCACCTAGCTTGCCTTTTCCCCTCCCCCCGCCCCCTCTCTCCTGTCCCCCCGCCTCCCCTTTCCTGTACAATTACTCAATATGAATATCTCCCTCTTCCCCTGATGGCGTGGTGGGAGTAGTAGACCCCCCCCGCGTACTGTTTTTTACACACAGGATTCCCGGGAGTTGGGTTTTCGCCTGCGTTGTTTTTCAAAATGCTGCTCTCGATGAGGCGCTGGCTTCATTTCTGCTCCCGAATCGTTCCGAATCGTGCTCCCGCTGCAGCGTGGGCCTCATTTTCGGATCGGTGTTTTGCTTCCGTCGTTCAGGATGGCGTTCTCGCCCAAGCGCGGGCCTCTTTCTCGCGCGCCCATCAGCCCGCCGCCACCGCGCCGCACCACGCCCCGCCCCGCCGCACGCACATCCACCGCCACTTCCACCCACCAACGCTTCACGCACGCACGCGCACCACCACCGCGCACCGCCACCACCACCGCACTACCCCACCCACCACCACCACGCTACACCGCGTCAAACCACATCACACGCGCGCACACACAGACACGCACGCACGCACGCACGCACGCACGCACGCACGCACGCACGCACGCACGCACGCACGCACGCACGCACGCACGCACGCACACGCACACACGCACACACGCACACACGCACACACACACACACACACACACACACACACACACACACACACACACACACACACACACACACACACACACACACACACACACACACACACACACACACACACACACACACACGCACACACACGCACACACACAGACACACACACACACACACCACCACCACCGCCACCACCACCACCGCCATCACGCACGTACGCACCTGGCCCACCACCAAACCACCAAGACGCCACACCACGTCACACCACAGCACACGCGCACACACGCACACACACACACACACACACATACACACCACCACCACAACAACCACAACCACGCACACACGCACGCACGCACGCGCACCACCACCCACTACGCACACGCGCGCGGAGCCACAGGTCCGCTACGACACGCGTCCGCGGATAGAGAAAATCAGCGCCATGGTAAGGGATGGGAGGGAGGGGTAGGATGTCAGATGTTGACGCGAGCGCACCTAATTTGCCACCCCCCCCTCTCTCCCCGCCCCTCCCTCTCTCCTTTCGCCCCCCCCCCCTCTCTCCTGTCCCCCCCCCCTCTCTCCTGCCCTCCTCCCCCCTCTCTCCTTTCCCCTCCCCCCCTCGCGTGTCAACTCTTTCGTCGTTGGCGTCCCCCCCCGCAGAGCGAAGCTTGAGCGAGGCCCCCCCCCTCTCTCCTTTCCCCCCCACCCCCTCGCGTGTCAATTCTTTCGTCGTTTGCGTCCCGCCCCCGACCCCCGCCTCAAGAGCGAAGCTTGGGCGAGCTCAAGCCCACGCTCTCAGAAACTCACACGCCGGATCGGCGGATTTTGTAGATTTTGGGGCTTATTTGTAATGACCGAAATCCATGCCGTGGCACGGCGCTGGAAATAATGACGCCAGCGCTGCAGCGGGAGCACGATTCGGAACGAGCGGTAGCCCGAACATGAGGCCAGCGTTTCAGCGAGAGCAGCATTTGGAAAAAAAACTCTCTGCGGAAGCGCGGAAATGAGGACGCGTAGTCTGACAGAGCATGCCGTGGCGACATTCCAAAGTGGAAGGAAAGGGGGGCTTCCGCGGCCCAGAAAATCAAGGAATCGACACCGAATGTGTAATCACTTCCGATGGGTTTTTCGGGAGGCCGTTTTTTTGATTTTGGGGCCCATTTGGATGGACCGAAAACCATGCCGTGGCATGGCGCTGGAAATAATGACGCCAGCGCTGCAGTGGCAGCACGGTTCGGAACGAGCGGAAGCGCGGAAATGAGGCCAGCGCTGGAGTGAGAGCAAGATTCGGAGCGAGCGGTAGCCCGAAAATGAGGCCAGCGCTTCAGCGAGAGCTGCATTTTGACAGAAAACCCAAGCGAGAGCCCAACTGCCAGGAATCCTGTGTGTAAAAACCAGTACGCGGAGCGGGGCCGGACATTCTTCGGACACCACCAGGGGAGAGAGGAGAGTAGTATTCATATTGTGTAATTGTGCAGTCGGAGGACGAGGAGAATGGGAGTCGGAGGAGCAGGAGAGGAAGGAGGACGCGGAAGAGGGGGACGAGGAGGGGCAGGAAGAGGAGGATGGGAATGACGAGGTCGAGGTAAGGTTGCGGAGCACCGGGGGAAGAGCACGCGGGGGAGGGGGGGAGCATGATGAATACGATGATCAGGAGGCTGAGGATGAGGATGAGGAGGAGGAGGATGCGAAGGAGGGGGATGAGGAGCAGGAGGGAAAGGGTGAGGAGGAGGAGGAGGAGGAGGAGGAGGAGGAGGAGGAGGAGGAGGACGCCGTGGAGCAGGAGGGGGAGGATGAGAAAGCGCATGCGGAGGAGGACGAGGAGACGGACTCGGGGGAGAAGGAGGTTGACAAGGGCAATGAGCAGGTGGAGGACGATGAAGACGAGACGGGGGAACAGGGGGAGGAGGGTGCGGAGCAGGGGGCGGAGGGGATGCTTGTCGGAGTCTCTTCGGGGCGCTTCCGGGGGCCTCCGGTGGGCAGTTTGAGGGCGTTTTGGGAGACGCCTGGGGGGCCTCTTGGGAGCCTCTCGGGGGGCCTCCAGGGGCTTCTGGGTGGCTTCCTCGGTGCGTCTTGGAGGCCTTTTGGGGCCTCCTGAGAGCTCCTCGGGGGCGAGGGCTCGAGATGTCCGCTTGGGTACCCTGTCGGGGCACCCTCTGGGAGCCGTCTTGGGTGCCTCTTGGCCTGTTTTGGAGGCGTCTCGGGTCGTCTTGGGACCCTCTTGGGCCATGTTGGGAACCTCTTGGGGGACTCTGGGCCGTCTTGATGCGATCTGGGGGCCTCTTGGGTCGTCTTGGAGCGTCGGGAAGTGGAAGAGGCGAGAACCACCGGATCTCAGTCCTCGTTATCCTCGTCCTGGTTTCGGTTTCAGTAGCCACGCGAGTTGCGGGCCGCATCGCATCCTCCCCGGGCCGACTGCGTATTTCCATTGCTTTGCGCACGGTCGTTTCTAGCGCAGCGCTCTGTTGGCCGCCCTCTCGTCTCAGTGCGTTTGTCCGCCTGGGGCTCAGGCCTGGGCCTCCCTTCGCTCGGGAGGGTGGCGGTCGAAACAGGCTCCCGGGGTGAGAGTCCTCCGCCTTACCGCGCGCAGACTGCTGCAATGTCAATTCCGACGACGCCTCCTCCTCTCCTGCTTTCCCACTCTCCCAATCTCCTCTTCTCGCACTCTCCCGTTCTCCTACTCTCCTCCTCTCCCACTCTCCTCCGCGTGTTCCTTCTCCTCCTCCTCCTCCTCCTCCTCCTCCACCATTCCTTTTCCTTATGCATGACTCCTTCCTGTCGCACCCCGAGGCCAGTCGAAAGGGCGGGCCAGGTGCTTCGCCTGAGACTTCTTCACTATTTATGACTCTGATGCTCAACAACTGACAACAGTTTCACAGAGGGCGGGTCGTTTTCAAAAAGTAGCTCTCGCCTTAGCGCCGCGCGCGTTCGTTTCGAAACATTTGCAAGAGTTTCACGGATTGAGGGCGGGCCGTTTTCAAAATGTGGGTCTCGCCTTAGCGTCGCACACATTCGTTTTCGAAGTTTGCAGGAGTTTCACGGACTGAGGGTAGGTCGTTTTCACTTGAGGCTCTCGCCTTAGCGCCGCGAGCATTCGCTTGAAATATTTGGAACAATTTTCACGGATTGAGGGCGGTTCGTTTGCAAAATGCGGTTCTCGCCTCAGCGTAGCGCGCAGTCGTTTAACAATTTGCAGGATTTTCACGGATGGAGGGCGGGCCGTTTTCAAAATGTGGTTCTCGCCTCAGTGCCGCACATATTCGTTTTCAAAATTTGCAAGAGTTTCACGGATTGAGGGCGGGTCGTGTTCACTTGTGGCTCTCGCCTTGGCGCTGCGCACATTCGTTTGAAACATTTGGAAGCATTTCCATGTATTGAGGGTGGTTCGTTTACAAAATGTGGTTTTCGAATTGGAGCCGCGCGCATTCATTCTAACAATGTGCAAGGGCTTCACGGAACGAGGGCAGGCCGTTTTCAAAATGTGGTTCTCGCTTTAGCGCCGCGCACTTTTTGAGATAACAACTTTCCAGAACTTGTGTTTTCGAGCGATTCGGGATTGTCAGGGCGCAGCAGTTATGTCGGTTCGCGGTGTTGAAGTCCCAGGAATGGCGTTCTGGCAAGATTCAGGATCGTCAAGACGCAGCAGCCAGGTTGATTGATGGCGTTGAAGTCTTAAGAATGATTGACGTGCTTCAAGATTTTCGTACGGTTGTCTCCCAACGGGACATGTCCCTTAGTAGTGGAAGTGAATTTGTGTATGGGGCCTATTGAGAGGGAGCTTGGAGGGAGGGTGTATCCCAGCATCGTTGATGAGTCTTGGGTTTGCACTGGTCCTCCTCCTCCTCCTCCTCCTCCTCCTCCTCCTCCTTCTCCTCCGCCTCCTCCTCCTTCTCCTCCTCCTCCTCCTCCTCCTCCTCCTCCTCCTCCCCTCCTGTCGAGGCCCGAACGGTCTGCCTGTGGGCTGCTAGACTGCGCGGGGCCCAGGGTCTCCCGTGCGCCGTGCTCTTCCTCCTCCTCCTCCTCCTCCTCCTGCTCCTGCCCCTCTTGACGCCGCTGCTCCTCTTCCTCATCATCATCTTCATCTTCTTCTCTCCTGCTGCTCCTCCAGCTCCTCCTCTTCCCCCCTCCTCATTCTCCTTCTCCTGCGCCTGCTCATCATCGTCCTCGTCCCCTTCTCCTCCTCCCTCCTCCCTCCTCCATCATCCTCCCTCATCGTCCTCATCATTCCAGCCCATCCCCATCCACTAGAGGCGCCGTCGTAGAGCGGCCAGTGGCTCTCCCAGCTGTTGTAGAGGACCTGCGCGTGGGGCGCGGGAGGGGGGTGGCTAGCGCCGTCGTCATCCTCATCCTCATCCTCATCATCCTCATCCTCATCATCCTCATCCTCATCATCCTCCTCATCATCCTCATCCTCATCATCCTCCTCATCATCCTCATCCTCATCATCCTCACATTCCTCCTCTTCATTATCCTCCTTCTCCTCGCCATCCCCCTCCTCATCATCGTTATCACCATCATCATCATCATCATCATCATCATCATCATCATCATCATCATCATCATCATCATCATCATCATCATCATCATCATCATCATCATCATCATCATCATCACCACCACCACCACCACCACCACACCACCATCATCATCATCATCATCATCATCATCATCATCCTCCTGCTCCTCCTCCTCCTCCTCCTCCTCGTCGTCGTCGTCGTCGTCGTCGTCGTCGACGTCGTCGTCGTCGTCGTCGTCGTCGTCGTCGTCGTCGTCGTCGTCGTCGTCGTCGTCGTCGTCGTCATCAGCAGCATCATCATCATCATCATCATCATCATCATCATCATCATCATCATCATCATCATCATCATCATAAGCATCATCATTCTTCTCCTCGCCACCGCTGTCTCCTTACTACCGGAGCGCCCCCCCTGGGCCGACGTCGGCCACCACGCCCACCTCCACCTCCGCCGTCTTGGCGTGGACGCACGGCAAGGGCTTGCGACCCGACATGAGCCTGGCGATGCCCCCCTCCCAGCTGCCCTCCCTTCTCCTCCCTCTCCTCCTCATCCTCCTGCCTCCCCCTCCTCCTCCTGCCTCCTTCTCCTCCCCCTCCTCCTCCTCCTTCTCCTCCTCCTCCTCCTCTTCCTACTCCTCTAGAGCACCGAAACTGAGCAATTCCAAACATGGCCGTTCCTCCTCCTGCCCCTCCCCGTTCCCGCTCGTTTCCTCCTCTTCGGTTTCCTCTTCGATCCTCCTCCTCCTCCTCCTCCTCCTCCTCCCCTCCCTTTACCTTCTCCCCCTCCTCCTATTTTTTTTGTTGTTGTGTCTCTTCTGTGAAGCCTGCAGTCAAACGCCGAGCGGCTGCCTGACCAGGCCCGCGAAGTCGTAGACAATGATTAACCCTGCTGGCATATGAGGCGCCTCCCTGGGAGGCGCCACCAGTAGAGCAGGATGGCCTGGGTGAGCCACCCGTGCTCGCGCAGGGGGACGAGGATGCCTAAGGGGAACCACAACAAAACAACACACAACCAAAAAAAGGGAGGGGTGGGGGAAAACGCGCCTGCAACAAGATCGGCGTGCACAAACCACATGCCGCCGCTGCTCGGCGGCGGCACGTCCACCCTGAAGCCGCGCGGGGCCCAACAGGGCACTCGCGCGACTTCACCAGGGTGAACTGGAGCAGCAAGACATAGCCTAGCGCGCCTGGCACTGCCTGGACCACGACGCCTCTCCGACGTCGCGCCTCCTGGCGCTCGTGCCCAGCGCGGCGCGGCATGCGCGCGAACGTTGGGCCCCCGAACCGTCGCGCGCAGCTTAACAACCGTCCCCTCCTCATCCTCCACCTCCTCCTCCTCCTCCTCCTCCTCCTCCTCCTCCTCCTCCTCCTCCTCCTCCTCCTCCTCCCCCTCCTCCCCCTCCTCCTCGTCCTCCGCCCCCCCCCCAACAAGCCTCTCTGGGCCGAGCCCGCGCGGCTCGGCTGCCCCCGCCGCGAGGGCGCCGTCGGCGGGCTCGGGGGCCCTCGAGCCGCGGCGCTCCCGCGCGCGCGGCACCGCGCGCGCCCTCCCCTCCTCTTCCCGCTTCCCCCTCGCCCTTCTCCTTTGTCCGTCCTCGTCGTCGTTTACATCGTCGTCCTCCTCCTCCTCCTCCTCCTCCTCCTCCTCCTCCTCCTCCTCCTCCTCCTCCTCCTCCTCCTCCTCCTCCTCCTCCTCCACAATTATTCAATATGAATATACTCTCCCTCTTCCCCTGATGGCGTCCGGGTGATAGCCGCGCACCCTCCGCGTACTGTTTTTTTACACACAGGATGCCCGGAAAATCCCGGGAAACGATTCTCGCTGAGGCGCCGGCGTCATTTTTTCCCAAAATGCTGCTCTCGCGCCGGCGTCATTTTTTCCCAAAATGCTGCTCTCGTTGAGGCGCCGGCCTCATTTCTGCTCCCGAATCCTTCCCCTGATGGCGTCCGGGTGATAGCCGCGCACCCTCCGCGTACTGTTTTTTTACACACAGGATGCCCGGAAAATCCCGGGAAACGACTCTCGCTGAGGCGCCGGCGTCATTTTTTCCCAAAATGCTGCTCTCGTTGAGGCGCCGGCCTTCATTTCTGCTCCCGAATCGTTCCGAATCGTGCTCCCGCTGCAGCGTGGGCCTCATTTTCGGATCGGTGCTTGGCCTCCGTCGTTCAGGATGGCGTTCTCGCCCCAGCGCGGGCCTCTTTCTCGCGCGCCCATCCGCCCGCCACCACCGCGCCGCACCGCCACCACCACCATCACCACCACCACCACCACCACCACCACCACCACCACCACCACCACAACCACCACCAGCACCA